ATCTCTTGTATTATAATTCAGCTAGGTATAGGTTGTCTAAAATTATCAGATTCTTTTTCATAAAGAAAATTTAATTCCTTATTTTTGCTTTTTATATGATTTGAGTTTTTCCACTAAAACTCCTAAATATCAGCCTTTGACTTGAGATGTTGAGGGAATCTTAGGGTAGCTATCTGTCCCTTTCCCTAGCTGTTGTTGTGCTTCACCTTGTCATCATTATTATAACCATCATTAGCTGTTTGGGGGGTACTACATAGCTTTATCCCTACTACTAACTTAGTAATTTAGGTTCTTATCCTAAAACTTGAAGAGTAAGTAAGCAGCAGTCATTCAGCCACAGAACTACATTTCTTAAAATGTAATTATCTGTATCAGAATCACCTAGAGAAGTGCTTCCTAAACTTTCATGTGTGTGTGACTCACCTGGGGGTTCTTCATAAAATTCAATTTCTAATTCTGGGATTGGGCCTGAGATTCTGAATTTCTACTAAGCTTCCAGGTAACATCCATGCTGCTGGTCTATGGACTTCATTTTGAATAGCAAAATATTTGTTAAAATATCAGTCATATGTTCCATCCCAAGTCCAAGGAGTCACAGTTTGTGTGACTAGAATCTGGGATATGCATTTTAATGAGATATTTATCTATACTAAAAATTTAAGGTTGTTGTTATAATTTAGTAGTTCTTAACTGTGGATGTGTATCAAAACCACCCAGAAAGAGTTTTAAAACAGTATTCCTAGATATTACTCCAGAACTATTGAATCGTCATCTCTGGTTTGTATTTTTAATATGCAGAATCATATACCTGATTCTGAGTATAACCAGGTTATAAAGAATGATTATAAATATTATAGAAGGGACTGGAGCCAGAGTCATCATGCCCGGTACTAGAAGTTTCACCTGGAATCCAGACAAAAAATAAGATTAAAATTGAACTATGTTAGAACTTAGTGGGGGGGGGGAAGGTTTCAAAACTGAAATCTTCCACTGAATTTTATACAGCATAATTTTTGTAATTTTAAGCCATTTTCCTTTTTACAGTGTATTTTTGGCTTGTGTATTGACAGTGTTTCTCAAAATAGGATTTATGGGCATAGTCTTGGGGTTGTGAGTTATCCACAGTAATTTATAATCAGACTAATGGAAATACTCTGAATGATTTGAATAAACCCTCTTATGCAAAAATACTGCCATACAATTTCAATATGTGAAGTTATATTTGCATTTATGGTTGTGTTGGTACCAAGTAGTATTATTTTAATTGTTATGGGTTAATAAAAAATCGAAGTGGACTATGCACATGTATTATGTATTCATATCAAATGATTATAAAATTATGTGATGGTATACTATGGAACAGAATTCAGAGGTATTCAAGTAGAGGCAAGTGGTGAAAGAGAGACACAGAGTAAGTATAGACATAAAAGAACCTGTGGAGTCAGAATCATATCCATATTGTGAGATTGTTTTATTTTTGTAAAACAAAATTCATATGTCATGTAAATTAATTGTCATTTGAATTCTAGTTTTAGTTTTATTTGTATTTAATTTGTTTTTTGTTTTATGTATATATGAGTCATAAGTATGAGGAATTTCTTATTTTTATATATAAGTTAAAGAAGTTATAAAAGTAAGTCAAAGTTAGGATCAGCAAAAATTTTTTTAAAGATCTGTATGTTATTCAAGCTTGAGAAACATGTATTTTGTTTATTTAATATGCTTATGTAAAAAATATATCAAATTAGAGTCCTTTGGCCCAATTCAAATACTGTACAGTTTTCTACCTTAGGTTTCCTTGATTTCCCTTACTTGAATTAATCCCTCCCTCCTTTGAACTTTTTATAGCAATTAACACATTTTACTTTTATTTTTCTTACTTGTCAACTTGTCTGTCTCTCCTGTTAGATGCTATATTTTTTTAAGGAAAAAGATTAGGTATGTTGTAATCAAGGACAGTACTTTTTATAAAGAATGATTCAGTGAAGCTTGAATAAATGGATGAACGGAAGGAAGACTGACAATGTGTTAGATGATTTACTACGAAAGAATGAGTGAATATGGATATAGGAACAATATTATTTTTCCAAGGCCCACATATAATAGAAAATCCTTCATCTTGCAGGTGGTGGTGGTAGAAATACATTATAAATGAAAATGTAGCTATTAAATACAGTAAATTAAGTTCTATAAGGATATTGATTAGTCACTTATGGTTATCAAACACACAGCACAAGTTTAATCATGCCCTCTCCTTCACCTATGTCAATCATCTTAAGTAAATCACATTACTTTTTTTTTTAATTTTAAGAGTTAATTTGAGCGAAAATCAATTTGAATTGGGCAGTGCCAACAGAGGTGGTTAAGAGTGCTCCACAGATAGCTAGGGGCAAGACTTTTATAGATAAGACATGAAAGCAAAGCAAAGGATTATGGGATTGGCTATAGCTTAAGTAGTTGCTTTATTTAGGAAAGCATAGCTGGCTTTTTGCGAGTGGTTGTCCTTAGGTTTCAGTTTCTTTTTTTCCCTTGCAGTTTTATTGCGATAAAATGGACATACGGCACTGTATAACTTTAAGGTATACAGCATAATGACTTGACTTACATACATCGTGAAGTGATTATGACAATAAGAAGAGTGAACATCCATAATTTCGTATAGATACTAAATAAAAGAAAAAGTATAATTGACCTACAACCCAATGTTAGTTCCAGGTGCACAACATAGTGATTTGATATTTCTATATATAATGAGCACCACGATAAGTTTAGGTATCATCTGTCACCATACAGAGATATTACATTGTTGACTGTATTTACCATGCTATATATTTCATCCCTATGACTCATTTGTTTTGTAACTAGAAGTTTGTACCTCTTAATTTTCTTCACCTATTTCACTCATCCTCCCATCTTCCTCCCCTCTGGCAACCACCTGTTTGTTCTCTGTATCTATAACTCTGTTTCTGTTTTGTTATGTTCATTTGTTTTGTTTTTTAGATACCACATATAAGTGAAATCATATAATAGTTGTATTTCTGTCTGACTTATTTCACTTAGCAAAAGTCCATCCATGTTGTCACAAATGGCAAGATTTCATCCATTTTGTAGCTGAGTAATATTCCATTGTACATGTATATACCACATGTTCTTTATCCATTCATCTACTGATGGGCACTTACATTGCTCCTGTATCTTGGCTATTGTCAGTAATGCTGCAGTGAACATAGGGGTGCATATATCTTTTCAAATTAGTGTTTTTATTGCTTTATTGTTCTACTTTTCAAACTGGGTTCAGATTAATTCTGGGAATCTCTTACTTGTTTAACCATGACCCATCAGTTGGACTTTGGACATAAGATGAAACCCTTTTTTCATAAAGGGTCTAGTTTCTTATCAATAAGAATGAGGAATACAGTAGTGTTGGTCCAAGGAATATTTATATTTCTGTTTGGATTTTCATATATTCCACTGTTCTTGTACTTACTGTAAAGTCTGTCTATATTGGAATTTTGTTGCTTGCTTCAGGTCTCATTACTGAAACCTGGCAGTTCTTAGACTTTTCTTCTTAACCTTATAAATGACCATGTAATATTTAAGTTTGCTCCTTTTCTACCTGAACTCCTGTATTTGTGTCTACTTTAATGGGATTGGTGTTTTTTCTACTCTCCCAGTATTCAGAAAGGGTGATCATAGATCCTTTTTAAAATGAGCTTCCTCTTTCTACATGGATTGAATTGAAAATTGATTGTTCATTGCCTAGAAACATGACTATCAAGTTATTTTCTGTGGAACATTATTGAGTATCTCTTGGCAACAGCAATTCTAGACTTTAGGTTTTAATCAAAATTGTCCAATGTCATATATGTTATACTTTAATTAGATTGTCAATTGACTCTGTAAATGTGTATGTAATAACAAGGCTTCTAGTTTTTTGGATTGTAGTGTGCAAGGTGCCTTCAACAGAATACTTTTGAATAGATAAAGTTTGGTGTAGAGAAAGTCAATGAACCAGATTGAAAATATAAATTTGACATACTGCATGTTCACTCTTATATAAAGAGGTACAAGATGGAATCCTTTTTGGAATTTACCATTCATTTTCCTTTTTTTTTTCCATAGTTGTGTGTCTGCTTGGTGTCAGAATTCTGTTTTGCTCTGCTAACAATTTACCAGCTCCTTTTCTAAATAAATTCTAGGAAATATTATGATTTAATAACAAGTTCGGATAAGGAATAACTGTGAACTTATCCCCCCATGTCTTTTTAAGAGTGGTTAAGGAGCCTAAGTAGGCCCAACTAGAAAAAGTGATGATGCTGTGGATAGAAGACTCTGATAAATCCCCAAATTTCATATATAGGAGTCATGGTTGCTTTGGCTATGGAACAGTTTCCCAGAATTGGTCAGAAAGCCCATTGTGAAGATGAAGGCAGAACAAAAGAATAAGGGAATAGTATAATGGATCTCTGACCTTATAAGTTTTCGTTATACTACTTAGATGCCGAACATCAGAATAAAAAGTAAATAATTCATCACCTCATGTAGATAAAGCTACAGACTCTCTGACCTCTGAAATTTATGTTTCAAATATACCTAATTTTTATTTCAAGTGAAAAAAAGCAAACAGTGTAGCGTTGTAGAAATATGGCAGTTTTTCAACCAAACAGGAATGGATTTGAATCCCAGTTTTGCCACTTATTAGCTGTCAGTCCTAGGCAAGTAAAAGCAAATATTCTTGTGAAACAGAAGTGCTATTTTCAGTTAGAAATAATATATATCAATGCCCATGTTAGATACTTAATAGTGGTTGTTTTATCATTATTATTTTTAATGACATTACTATTGTTATTTATCCTGTAAACTCTAATAACTAAGGGCTACTGAGTATATGGTAAATTTTATTGTTTATATAGGTATCGCTATGTTATAAGCATAAGGAAAATATAATGCTGACCAGATATAAAATTTAGATATTTTAATTGTAATTTTCTTTCTTTCAGAATTACTTACTGTCATCTACCTTTCCAGAGTAAATGGCTCTATGTTGGAACAGAAAGAGGAAATACACATATTGTAAATATTGAATCTTTCATTCTTTCTGGATATGTTATCATGTGGAACAAGGCAATTGAACTGTAAGTTTGAACTTGAATACCACTTTATTTGGATTAAATATATCTTATGGTTATGCAGTATATATATCAAATTGCAGAGTTATTTGAAACATCAATGGCTAATTTATGATGAATTTGAGTGAAAAGTTCATCTAAAATAATTTAAAACTCTAAAGGCTTTTAAAAATATTGTAGTATTAACATATGCTAATTTTAGACTTTCCAAATACTGTAAATAATTAAGGGTTATTATGTATACAAAATTTGATGATAAAATATTAAAGCTTATTCTAAAACTTATACATGAAAATCGTCTCATTTCTTTATAGTCAACCTTAGTATAGCCACTTCCAGTGGGAGTGGCAAGTGGATTATGACCACATTTAGCTTTATGTAAAAATAATCATGATCAGTTCACATGTTTTTAAATGCTGGTAGCTTATTCTTCACTTGCCTCATTAACATATTGTTCTGAGTTCCAAGAAGAATCAGTTCATCAGTATCTTTCATGTTGTGATGTATACAGCTCTTTGGGTATGTGGCTGATGGCAATTACCACTTTCATTCGGCACTGATATTTACGTTTCTACACATGTGAAATGTGAAATCCCTCAAATGTGAAACTTCATGGAATTCCAAGCCATCTTTTGTAGCATATACAGAGACAATTTTCCTGGTCAATGTGTTAATTGGAAAAACAATTTTTCTTTAATAAATGTTTGTACTCTGTACATATTAGGTCCTTAATAAGGTACGTTTGACTTGAGGTTGGCTCATTCTCTCTCTTACGTATATATACATTCTAAATTGCATAATTATTTTTCTCTAAAACTCTGGTTAAAACAGCCTATTTTCATGAAACTTGACTGTGATCTTTAAAATAAATCTACTATTCCCTATTCCCAATGTTTCAATGTACATGTATATTACTTGATAGGGAAGGTTGTTACTAGTTATATTCTTATTAAAATATTCCTCTCATATTATGTCCTAATGAGTTTTTTTAATTAATGATAATTCTTCCTCATTAGATTAAGAACTGCTCCAGGGCAGAATCCTTTGTTCATTGCTCTTTTTTTCTTCACATTTGGCTTATTTTGGTGCTTTCCACAGAGTGGCTACTAAATAACTAATGACAGTGAAAATTAGTATGATAAATAGATACAAGTGCTGTTGACTTACAGCTTTCATTTATAATTATAATTGGTATGAGCTATTTTGCTCATATATATTTTAATATTCTATGTGTATATTTTTAAAAACACTTGTCCGGTAGACAATTATGTGTCTCCCCAAAAGTTATCTATTTTTTCAGCTATTTGGGAAAGGCTTTACCCCCTATAATCTTAGTTCTATAAAAGCACTAAATAGGGCTGAACTTAATATTTGTTTTCATAATATTGTTTTGGGATATTGATAAAGTAAACTTGAGAGATCAAATATAGAGATTTTATATAAATTTAATATTAGTACAGATAGTAATAGGTGTATTGTTTGTGGTCAGTTCAATGCTGATAAAGTAATTAAGAAGAGTTTTTTATCTAAACAGATCAAATATTTCACCACACTTGCAATGTTGTTTCTATATTCATTTACTTAACAAATCCTTTTCATAGTTCAGATTAACACTACCTGAACTATGACTTACACCCTATATGTATTTACATAGTCCATACTTTATGATTTCAGAACTAGTGAAGATTTTAAAATGTATATTATAAAGGAGGGTAAAATTAGGAGAAATTAAAGAAATAAAATAAGGCATTTTATTTTTTCATAATATTTTCTTATGCATGTGATTCTGAATAGAATCTCACATTTATATAAATCCGGTGTTTTATAGGGTTGTACGTGCCTCTGAAAATGACTTTGAAATATCCTCAAGAAATCATTAGTAGCCACCTTATCTCCTGACTGTTTCTTGCTTTATTTACACCAGATTTCCAAAAGTCTTTTCCATGAAATTATAGTCCCACTGTGATAGATATAATTTTAAATGCTAACTTCCAGTCTCCCTGAGCAGTCAGTCTTTTAATTGCTCTCTACCTCTTGAGATACATTAGAAAATGCATGCCACTTATTATTATGTGTTAAGGGTATGGGATAATAATAAATACGTATTTAATTAAGAATCATTTTATAATTAGAAATTTAAACAATTCTAACAGTACATGTTTTAAGTGTGAGAAATGCAGAATTATCTTTGAGCTATATGAGATTATTTCTATTTTAAGTTCTTACTTGAAATACTTTTCATTCAATGTTTGTTATTTTTTTAGCTTGTTTGTGTTTTTAGTGAAGTCTCCTAATTGTAATTGTAGGCAGTTCCCATAATTATAAATAGTTTGTGTTCTCATAATGTGTATATTGGTTATTTGGAAACTGGAAGCCATTTTTGTGATGTTTGTAGAAACGGTAATGTTTGTAGAATACCTTATAAAATAGTAGTATAGAACAAAACTGACATTAAAAAATTTTATATGGGAAAATATGTTCCAGGTTATAGCACAGAAATAGTTGTTTCTGAAGGACAGCCCTAGCTTTAAAAGAAAAAAAAATAACCAGTTTTTTCTACATGTGATTAAAAATTTGAGCGTGAAATTTAGAACTAAATCATAGATGTAATGCATACAGTCTTCAAATATATTTATTGAGCACTATGATATGCTAGCTCCTGGAAACAAGTATAAACTGAGAAGACATAGTTTCTCTCCTCTCGGGATTCCAGTGTAATAAAGGTGAGATTAAGTAAAAAGGCAATTACAATATATTGGAAATATAAAGTGAAAATTCTATAAGAAGGATACCTAATATAGACATGAAGTCTCAGAGAAGTATCTGTGAAGGAAGTTACATCCATGAGATCGAAGGATGAATTTCAGTTAGGTGAGTGGAGAATTGGAGGAGAGGGCTTCCAGGAAGAGGGAACAGAAGTTTTAAAGGATAGAATGTGAGAGTTTTTGTTCCATGCACAGAAATTTTAAGTAGTTTAGTTGGTTGGAAAGGCTGGGGGAAAGGATGGCAAGAGATAAGGTTGAGAAGATAATAAAAATATATAGTATGAAAGGCTTTTAAGCCAGTTTGAGCATCTAGATTTTATCTAAGGTCGGGAGCTAGATTTTGAAGAGTTTTAAGCAAAGAATTGACTTGACCAAATTTGCATTTAGGAAGTCCACTCTGAATGCAGGTATGGAGAAATCATTGAAAAGAGAAAAGACTGTATTCTTGGTAAAAATTAGGGTGGATTTAGGAGTGAAGATAAGCTGACATATTAAATAAATAGTTAGAAGATAGAAGAGGCAATACTTGGGTATTGTGGGAAGATGTAAGAATAATATATTAAGAATTAAGAGTGACCCAAAGCGTTTGACCTGAGTAACTGTGTTGATAAGGGTGCCATTTAGTGAAAGAATGCAGGAGATGGAGTAGGTTGGGAGTAAAATAATGAGTTCAATTTTAGGTAGGTTGAGTTGTATGTGTTTTTAAGTTATTCAAATGGAATTGGTATGGGAGAATGGTAGGATGTAGGATATATGGATCTGAACCTAATGAGATCAGAATTTACATGGTCATTGAAATTATAAGAATATTTGAGATTGTGCATGAAAAGTATATATAAATGAGGTAGCAAACTTGTAGACAGTGAACCAGTTCTGACTCACAGATATGTTTTGTTTGCCCATCAGAGTATTTAAATATATTCTGAATTATTAGTTTCCAATATTTAAGAACTGGTAGAGTAGAGATAAGAATTTGGATTTCCAGCTTTTCATGAAAAAATTCCTGATGAAACAATCCCAGTCCAGTATTCTTGCATGGAAGTCAGTAATCAACAGGAACTAAGAACTTTCCTTTTGTAGGTGGGTAATGTGCTATCCAGTTTGGCACAGTTCTTATTCAGCCTGTTGAACTCATTTGCAGTACCTGCCTGGCTCCTGTGGGCTCTTGAATTCATGACCATATATAATATGGGAATACATTGCAGTTTAGGACAGAATACAAAGGAATACCAGTATTTAAGATAAGGGAAGAGAAAGTCCACAAAGAAAACTATCGAGAAGCCATTCTGGTGAATGGGAGGGAGAGAAATAAATAGGGATATTAGAAAAATTGTTTAGATGACTATCCCATGAAGTTAATTTCATTGATAATTCTATCTAAAGTAATTTTTATGGGATTTATAGAATCCAGAGTACACAGTTGCTTTTTAAAGTCAATTTCTAATGGCCGTAAATTTTGCAAGTAATGCTTGGTAGTTTTTGGAAATTTAATATTAGGGAAAAAGTCAGAAAAAATATTAAAAAGAAGTCTCTTCTATAGTCTGAAAAAGTTATTACAAATAACTGAAGATTAATTGTAGATTTTTTTCCTGAACTTGAGTGTTTTATAGAGTCATAAGCTAAATGGAAGAGTCTTTCATATGGTCTAACTAGTGTTTCTCAACGTGTATTTCAGTGATTCCCTCAATAGGGGATCAATGAAAAAGGATTCTATGGACCAAAATTTTGGAAAATATTGAAGATTTGCAATGGTGATTTGCATATTATGGCTCTAAGAAGTTCTGTAAAAGAACTTTAATATTATTAAATAAAAATATTTAATTTTAATTCAAGGTTTCCCAAACTTTTTTTTTTTGATATGGGACAGTCTTTATGTGAAACACCTTATATATATTCACTAGTTTATCATGGTGTACACTTTGGGTATTTGTTGTTCCAATCAAACCCAAAAGACAGATAGGGTTTTTGGTTTGTTGGATACTATTAGTTACCAAAAGATAATTGAAAAACATTGTCTTTTATCAGAGGCATTTATACTGTAATAAAGCACTGCATTTATATGTGAATAATATATTACATATAAACATAAAAGAACTGCAAAAAACCCTGTAAACGTTTTATGAAGGCCTTTCTTCCTGCACATATCCTAGAATGCAAATAGTAACTCTAATTATTCCAATGATTTACAACAATCATAATACATACTGTTTATTGAGTACTATGTTTTGGCATTATGTTAGATGCTATATGTATATTTTAACCCTCACAGTTATTCAGTAGGTGCACTGCTATCATCTCCATTTTTAAGTGAGAAAATTTAGGATAAAGCCACTAAAAAAATATCTAAAAAAGATGTATTTTTCTGAGTTACTCTGCTGAGTCAGTATCTAGGGAACCTGGAGTTACTTAATTTGTCACCTTTGTCTGAGTCCAAAGAATTTCTAAAATTTAAATCTTCATTATTTTTTTGTGCAGAATATTTGATGATTTTCATGTGTGCTTAAGAAATAAATTATAAATATGTCAATATACTTATACTAGGGTTAATCTGGCACAATTAGGTCATTGAAGAAAGGGTTTGGAAAAAAGAGCAATAATAAATCTATGTCATATCCGTTCATGTCATATTTAACCATGACATATTCATACTCAGCGGTGACATCAGTTAAAGTAGGAAATATAAAAGAAACATGCCAGATATTAGAATAGAATAAATTTAAAGTCAGATTAACAGAGCAAAGATCCCTTTAACAATACGCTCTTACACTATTATTGATTACCCTAGTTAACCAGATAAATGAGACAGAACCAGTGAACTAGGTTTCCCTAGTTGCTCAGTTTTCTGTAAGATGGCTATCACTAGAAAGGGTCTATTTGTAAATAAAAGGAGCCACTGTACTTTCCTTTAGGAGCAAAATCAGAGATTTCATGTCAAAGGAAATTTTAAATTTGGTATGTAATTTGCAGTTTGGTTGAAACAGGTTTGCAGCATTAGCCTTGTGGCTGTATAAGTAAAACTTCATTGTCAAATTTTCAGAGAACCAGATCTGGCAACAAACATATAAGCATATAAGATAATAAAGAATCCCATTGTTATGTGGATCTATGTCCTTAAACCTGATTTTTAAAAATAGACCTACTTTAATAGAGTTAGTAGGAGAAAAAAAAGTAGTCTTAAAGAAAAACAACCAAAGACTCAAATCAGTCTAAGCTAAACTCCAGAATATTGGGAGTGTATTCCAGTATAATCTTAATTTCTTTGTTTCAGTCTCTAACGGTAAGGTGTTTTAATGTTTTTTTTAATTACTCTTTTGAATTGATTTAACAGATCCACAAAGACTCATCCAGGTCCAGTTGTACATTTAAGTGATAGCCCAAGAGATGAAGGGAAAGTGAGTATTACAATACCACTATTCTTGAATTTATTTTCCTTATTCTTGAATAAAGGTGTTTCTTACTATTATTTTATACCTAACATCTAGCACAGTGCATTCAGTGTAATCTAAAATTAAAATATGTTGAATGAATGAATGAGCAAATAAATGAATGAACATATTATTTACACTAATAATGGTCCCAAATTGAGTCTTTAGTTTCACCTGAAGTTGATATTTAATTCTAGAATTTTGAGGAAGGCATGTAACACATAGAACAACTTTAATTTTCAAATATTCAATGCCTGAAGTTAAAAATATTGTCAATATCATTAATCATTGGCCCCTGATAGTCAGTAATGGTAATGATAAACAACCAATATTAAATAATCATAAATTAGCTAATCTTAATTTTATAAATAGGTAATAATATAGAAAATGTTCTAAGATTACAGAAATAATCCTTATTAATTTTGATTATTCATAATTTTCCTTTAATTATGAGAAACAAAGTTGATAATGTGAAAATCTCTAGAGTGTCACTTTCATTATAAATATTATCTCTTCAAGTATATAATTTTTGCTAAGTACCATATAAAACACCTAAATAAATTATTTAGTATAGGTTTGGTTCTTTATTTTTAAATGATAGAAACTGAATTAGCCTAATAAATACTGAACCTGAAAGACAAGTCCCCTGATGGTGAGAGAAAGAACATTGAATTTCTTCAAACTGATTTATAAATACAGTGTAATTCCAATCAGATGTCATTAGAATTTACTTTTTTAATTGAAGTATAGTTGATTTACATTATTATACTACTTTCAGGTGTACAACCTAGTGATTAAGTATGTTTACAGATTATACTCCATTCAAAGTTATTGAAAGATAATGGCTCTAATTCCCTGTGCTATACAATATATCCCTGTTGCTTATCTATTTTATACATAGCAGTTTGTATCTCTTAATCCCATACCCCTAACTTGCCCCTCTGCCCTTCCCGCTCCCATCTGGTAATCACTTGTTTATTCTCTATATCTGTGCATCTGTTTCTGTTTTGCTATACACACTCATTTGTATTATTTTTTAGATTCCAAATATAAGTGATATATATTTTTGTGTTTGTTTGAATAATTTCACGAAGCATAATATTCTCTAGGTCCATCCATGTTGCTGAAAATGGCAGGATTTCATTCCTATGGCTGAATAATATTTCATTGTGCATATATGTATATATACCACATCATTTTTATCTGTTCATGGGCACTTGGGTTGCTTCCATATCTTAGCTATTTTAAATAACGCTGCTATGAAGATTGGGGTACATGTATTTTTTTGAGTTAGTGTTTTCATTTTCTTAAGATATATACCCAGGAGTGGAATTGCTGGATCATATGGTTGTTCTATTTTTAGTTTTTTGAGAAACCTCCTTACTGTTTTCCATAGTGGCTACACCAATTTACATTCCCACCAACAATGTACAAGAGTTCCATTTTTTCCATATCCTCTCCAACACTTGTTATTTATGGACTTTTTTTTTTAATAGCTTTTAAAAAAATTTATTTAATTTATTATTTATTTATTTTAGGCTGCTTTGGGTCTTCATTGCTGCGCGCGGGCTTTCTCTAGTCGCGGTGAACAGGGGCTACTCTTGATTGCGGTGCATGGGCTTCTCATTGTGGTGACTTCTCTTGTTGTGGGGCACAGGCTCTAGGCGATGGACTTCAGTAGTTGTGGCTCATGGGCTCAGTAGTTGTGGCTCATGGGCTCAGTAGTTGTGGCTCACGGGCTCTAGAGCCCAGGCTCAGTAGTTGTGGCACACGGGCTTAGTTGCTCTGCTGCATGTAGGATCTTCCTGGACCAGGGCTCGAACCCGCATCCCCTGCATTGGCAGACAGATTCTTAACCACTGTGCCACCAGGGAAGCCCTATTTATGGACTTTTTTTTTTTTTTTTTTTGTGGCGGTACACGGGCCTCTCACTGTTGTGGCCTCTCCTGTTGCGGAGCACAGGCTCCAGACACGCAGGCCCAGTGGCCATGGCTCACGGGCCTAGCTGCTCCGTGGCATGTGGGATCTTCCCAGGCCGGGGCATGAACCCGTGTCCCCTGCATCGGCAGGCGGACTCTCAACCACTGCGCCACCAGGGAAGCCCTTTTTATGGACTTCTTGATGACAGCCATTCTCACAGGTATGAGGTGATATCTCATTGTGGTTTTGATTTGCATTTCTCTGATAATCAGCAATGTCGATCATAATTAGCAATGTCATGTGCCTGTTGGCCATCTGTAAGTCTTCTTTGGAAAAATGTCTATTCAGGTCTTCTACCCATTTTTTAATCACATTGTTTGTTTTTAAATATTGAGTTGTATGAGCTGTTTATGTATTTTGAATATCAGCCTCTTGTCAGCCATATCATTTACAAATATTTTCTCCCATACTATAGGTTGTCTTTTCATTTTGTCAGTGGTTTCCTTAGCTGTTCAAAAACTTTTAAATTTAATTAGGCCCCATTTGTTTATTTTTGCTTTGTTTCTTTTGCCTTGGGAGGCAGATCCAAAAAATATTGCTACAATTTATGTCAAGAGTGTTCTGCCTATGTTTTCTTCCAGGACTTTTATGGTTTCAGGACTTATATTTAGGTCTTTAATCCATTTTGAGTTTATTTTTGTATATGCTGTGAGGAAATGTTCTAATCTCACTGTTCTACATGCAGCTCTCCAGTTTTCCCAGAACCACTTGTTGAAGAGACTGTCTTTTCTCCATTTTATATTTTTACCTTCTTTGCCATAGATTAATTGACCATAGGTACAAGGGCTTACTTCTGGAATCTCTATTCTTTTTCATTGATGTATGTGTCTTGTTTTGTGACAGTACCATACTTTTTCATTACTGTAACATTGTAGTACAGTCTGAAGTCTTGGAGCATGATAACCTCCAGTTTTGTTCTTTTTTCTCAAGATTGCTTTGGCAATTTAGCATCTTTTGTGATTCTATATGAATTTTAGGATATTCTAGTTCTGTGAAAAATGTCTTGGGTATTTTGATAGGGATTGCATTAAATCTGTATATTGCTTTGGGTGTATAGACATTTTAACATAATTAATTTTTCCAATTCAAGAGCACAGGATATCAGTTTCTTTGTATCATTCTCAGTTTCCTTTATCAATGTTTTAAATTTTTCAGAGTGTAGATATTTTATCTCCTTGATTGTTTATTTCTAGGTATTCTTTTTGATGAGATTTTAAATTGAATTGTGTTTTTACTTTCTCTTTCTGATAGTTCGTTGTTAGTGTATAGAAAAGCAATAGATTTCTTTATATTAATCTTGTATCCTGCAATTTTGTTAAATTTGTTTATTTTAACAGTTTTGGGGTGGAGACTCTAGGATTTTCTATATGAAGTATCATGTCCTCTGCAAATAGTGACAGTTACTATTTCTTTCATTCCAATTTGAATTCCTTTTAATTCTTTTTCTTGTCTGATTCCTGTGGCTAGGACTTCTAATACTGTGTTAAATAGAAATGGCAAGAGTGGGTATCCTTGTCTTAGTCCTGAATTTATAGGAAAGGCTTTTAGCTTCTCACTGTTGAGTATGACGTTAGCTGTGGGTTTGTTATAAAGAGCCTTTATTATGTTGAGGATAGATCAAAAGCTAAGCCAGAAAACAAGTCTCAGCAAATTTAAGAGGATGGAAGTTATACCGAACATTTTTTCAAACCACAACAGTATGAAAGTAGAAATCAATTACAAAGAGAAAAATGGGAAAAGAACAAACATGGAGACTTAACAACATGCTACCAAAATACCAATGGGTCAATGAGTAAATCAGAAAATACCTTGAGACAAATGAAAATGGAAACACCACACTCCAAAATCAGTGGAATACAACAAAAGCAGTTCTAAGAGGGAAGTTTTTAGTGATACAGGCTTTCATAAAGAAACAAGAAAAATCTCAAACAATCTAACCTATCACCTAAAGGAATTATAAAAAGAGAAAGAAACAAAGTCCAAAGTTAGTAGAAGGAAAGAAATAATAAAGATCAGAGAGGAAATACATAAAATAGGGATTAAAAAACAATAGAAAAGATCAGTGAAACCAAGAGCTGTTTTTTTGTAAAGATAAACAAAATTGATAATCCTTTAGCTAGGCTCACCAAGAAGAAAAAAAAGATGACCCAAATAAACAAAATAAGAAATTAGAGAGGAGAAATAACAACCAGTACCGCAGAGACACAAAAAAGTCATGAGAGAATACTACATACAGAATAATAAGATAATACAACAGTTATATGCCAACAAATTGGACAACCTAGATGAAATGGACAAATTTCTAGAAACATACAACCTACCAGGACTGGATTAAGAAAAAACATAATTTGAACTGACCAATCACTAGGAGTGAAGTTGCATTTGTAATTTAAAAAAAAGAAACCTCGCACCAAAAATGTCTAGGATTGGACAGCTTCATAGGAAAATTCTGACAAACATATAAAGAAGAACTTATACCTATCATTCCCAAACTATTGCAAAAAAATCGAAGAGGACAGAACACTCCAAAAATCATTCTACTAGTCTAGCACTACCCTGATACCAAAAACCATAAAAAGACATTACAAAAAAAAGAAAATTACAGGCCAATATCTCTGATGGATATACATGTAAAAATCCTCAACAAAATATTAGGAAACGGAATCCAACAGTGTGCAAAAAAGATCATGCACTATGATCAAATGGGATTTATTCCAGGAATGCAAGGATGGTTCAACATTTGCAAATCAATTGATGTGATACACAACATTAACAAAAGGAAAAATAAAAATCACATGATCATCTCAATAGATGCAGAAAAAAGCATTTGGCAAAATTCAACATCCTTTCGTGAAAAAAACTCTCATCAAAGTGGGTATAGAGAATTTACTTATATTTTTAAAGAATTTACAAGCTGATTTTAAAATTCATAAGAAAAATGAAATGTTTAAGAATAGGCAAAACATTTTTTCAGAATGAATAACATT